TGTTGGAAATTGAGAAGCAATAGTGTAATCACTAATGCACTAATATTTATTATACCAACATTTGTTGCATACCTAATGTTAATCCATCATTTCAATATTTGCGAATAAAATAATATTATAATATTCTGTAACATATAATATACTATAAAAATACAATATGTAAGTCCTTGGAACACATAGTTAGAGCCATTTACGTCACCGTCTGTTGCTTCATTATCAACGTTAAGGAACCATTACCGTTAATACAATATGTAAAACTGATAGCTTCAGATAAAAAGAAATTTTTATTTAATTTATTTAAAGTGATCATTATTGTACATTACCAAGATACTACAAGTTTTCGCTGGAAATTATCACAAATTTACTAAAGTATCTTTCTTGATAAACTTTGCAGTATATATTCAGTCTTTCAGCAAGATTTTCATAAGGAATGTATCATATCGTTTCCCTACACTAACGAATATTTCTAGTTCGTCCTATCGATATTTGCAATTTACTTTGTTAACAACTTTTTCAATATAAATATATTATATCCGTTATTAGTGTCCCGTGTATATTATAGTTTAAATATCTATATCGAATCCGTATAAATGTTTCAATGACAAGCCGTGATTTGCCGCGTTTAGCGAATTATTTTGAATCCAATATTACAAACACAATTCACAAATGATAATCAATAATACATAGAGCGATGAATAACGGAAAAATAATAGGTTTTATTGAACTGCTCACGAAACAAAAAATCAATTTTTCAATCCAAACGTCTGTCATGTTTGCAAACTTTCCAGCGGAGACTTGATAACGTATAATTTCTACAATATGATTTCTTACTGTTCCGAGTGGCACAAGGAGATGCATAGAAATTCACACTCGGAAATCTGCATAGCTGTGGCAAGGATAACAACAGACAAATATTTCTCGGATACGTATCGTAGCTTGGAACATTGGATAGCATCACGAGACGACATTTTACAACGAATACTGCCTAGTCTGTCGCGTTACGTATGCCAGTACCAAAAGGAGATGATATTATGTGCAAAGTCGTGTTATGTGTGTTACCGACAGATAAACAGAAGTCTTTGCAATATTTGCTATTCAGCCAATTTTTGTGATGATCACCAAGTGGAATTTAGTTATTACATGGGTAGGACTGCGGTGAGTTGTTACTATTACTGAACACGAATATAGCCGATATTATCCGCGACATGCAGGAGTTTATGATTCATAAAGGAAGAAAGTTTTCCTAAAGAGATATATTTTCAGGACAATATTACATTTCTTAATGGCTATGTACACAGAAATGATCGACATACTCGTCCTAAGATGTTAGATGATCATAATTCAACTCTTGCCTAGACATTAGACCAATATGTATATTCTGAAGTTGCATCCGAATCGCTGACATTATACTACACGTCAAATTTATTATCTGTTACACTCAATGCACGTAAATACATTGTTCAACTTATAGACGCAAATAGAATAGATGTAGTATCTTTACAAATTTGGCATATTTTCTTACGTTACTTTTGTACGATAAAGGAATTGCATTTTGTACTTATCCAGTCGCCAATATTCGAATCGCGCGATCTATGTTCTGTTTGTAGTACGTGCCATAGTAATAATGCGTCACTTGATATTCAGCTAATTTTTTCATGATCTCCAAATGCTATGTAATCTAGAACATAACGATCACTACAAAGAATTGTTACTATTATTAAACGTTAAATTCGTCTTAATGTGTAGCAATAATTTGCAACTATAACTAAACAAACTCATGTTAACCACATTTCGTGATGCTAGACCTTAACATAACATGACTACATTTATTAACAGATATTTAATAATGGAAGATCTAGATAATATTAAAAAAAGAATTTTCTTATCCAAACTTTATGGTCAAACATTATATATGTGATAGTAATACCTGACATAAATATGTGCTTGATAAGAACATTGTTTGAAACTGTAACAACCATAGTAGTACAAATTCATAGTCCATTTATTTTTAATCTTTCAATCTTGGATTGCAATACGCAAAATAGACAAGAAGTAACAGGTACAAGAAAAAATCGATCGTATAGAAATAATAAATTCTGCAGTTGGCCATATAGAAGCCATGTGACTAGTGGATATACTGAAATGCGTATTTAATTAATTATTCATTAATTTAGATCATATAACCGAATCAATCAAAGGTTGAAGGTCAGGAGATAGTTAATCATTGCCTTAATTTTAGTTCAGTATATTGCTTTAAACGCCCCTGTCTATTCTTAACGATATTCAAATAAATAATACATATCTTTCTGAGGTATAGATCAGTTGCAAATTGATAGTATTTTATTTCTTACATTCCTGATGTATATAAAACATGTTTACGTGAGGTAATAAAATGATTGCACATCGTATCTTAAATATTATATTTCGCATACTAATCAGTAGTTATAAATACCATATTCCATAATTTTGTACTCAGCTATATGTAATTGTTTTGTAAGTCCCTTTTAATCGCCCGTGTTCTGCAAGTAACAGACAAAATTGCGATATATTTTATGTAGATTACATTTTTATGTCCTTCATAGTATAGTTTACAACTAAAATCTGTAGCTCGTTACATCGACATTTACAATTTAAATTATGGAAATTTGTCGAGCAGTATAGAAGTATTTAAAACTATTAATGTCGTAAGGGTTATCACCGAATTATTGTAAAATGAATACAACGTGTAATCATAATTATTAATAAAATATGGATTTTAACCATATACAATTATTCGTAAATATATCCTACGATTCTCCCTCATATTTTTTATAAAAATATAGTATATATACACTTTGTTTCAATATACTTTCAGCATTTTCCCGATGCATTCCTGAATGCAGCTAATGATCGAATAAATAATAGAATTTAACTTAATGCGATAACTTAAAGATTAGTCCTTTTGTTGTGTTGACTATCGAGTAAAATGTATCGAAGGAAAATAGTTTATAATTTCTTCAAACAAAGTGTATATATGATTCTATAAAGTTATCTGTTATATGTCGCCTACTCTTGCATCAGTTTTCACGAGTAACAGTAAGTATAGCATAAAACATTTTTCTGGGCACATTATAAAAATGCTTTATGAGCATAACAATACAACTAGCCATACTGAAAAAAAATATACTTCAATATTTGTAGGAAAAAAAATGTATTCTAAAGTATACGCATATAGAAATAAATTTTATTTCA